GCTATCCTCCTTTCTAGGTATCTTCCCGGAAGTGTTAAAATCATCATGTTACAAGGATACATGCATACCTGTGTTTATAGCAGCACAATACAGTATATGTCCATCAACAGATGAATAAAGAAAATGTATTCATTCACAGTAAAATATTATGCTGCCATAAAGAAAGATAAACTTGAGGCATTTGTAGGCAAGTGAATGCAACTTGAGAATATGTTAAATTAAATAAATCAGGCAAATAAACTTATATATTGCACATTTCTATTATATGAGGAATATATATACGGAAAGAGAGAGCACATGCATGCCAAAAATGCATATACACTTCAGGAAAAGAAAAATAGTATGATGTTTTCTCAATAGATGGTGTTACCCTCATATGGGGGACCCTATAGGATATCATATATTGCAGAAAACCCACCACACTCCTAGCGCTTAGAAAAGAAATTGAAAATGCACATGCAGCAATCTCAATGACCAAGGTTACCCAAGCAGATGTTTGCTGTACTAATAAATGTCTGGAAGCTAATGGTCATCACTTTGAGCACATCTTTTGGTTGTTTTTTTGTTTTTTTGTGGGGGGTACCAGGAATCAAACTCACAACCTCATGCTTGCCAGGCAGGCACTGTGCCACTGAGCCGTATCTCTGGCCCTTAGAGCACCTCTTGTTACTGTAGACCCCAAAGTAACTCATATTAATCTCATGATGTCTCAGTAAATTTAGTATTAAAATATTTAGACAAGTTTTTCTTTTCCTGAAATGTCTATGCATTTTTCTGGCAGTCTCTCTCTATATATAGATAAATGATAGATAGATAGATATAGATATAGATAGATACAGAGCAGCATACGAGAGAGCACACAAAACAGAAGATACACAGAAAGCAGAGAGAAGTCCAAATAATGCTCCAAATTATCTATTCACTGTTTCATTTATACTTCTAGTTTCTCTTAGTTCATTAAAAAGATTTTATTCTTTAGTCATTTTTTTAATCTTTGTAACAGTCTTTTTGTCTATACCTTGTACGCTAACATTTTGGCCATTCTTTTAAGATCACGATACACAATGTATTAACTATTATTATTCTCTAATTGTTTTGTTATTAAATTTTGTTTTACTTGGGAGGCTGAGGCAGGAGGATCACTGTGAGTTCGAGACCAGCCCGGACTACACAGTGAGTTCAAGGCTAGCCTAAACTACATAGTGAGACCCTGTCTCAAAAAACAAAACAAAACAAAACCCAAAATATAAATTATTTTTGAAAATAAATAATTTTCAGATTATTTGAACTATCACAGACCATAAGAGAGAAAATACATAGTTCCCTATATTGTCTTAAATAGCCAATATAATTGTAGTTATAAAAACTAAGTGCAAGTAGTATTTAAAGAACTAGGGGAAAAAAAGGGAGTGAGGAGACAAGGCAGGCTAAAGCCACGCTGGGCTTAACAGGTAAGGCTCACCATACAGCCTGCAGTACCACAGGAATCCCAGGTGATCCAGATGATGGAGGCAGGTCTGGGTGCTTCAAGTGCGAGCAAGCAGGGCACCGGGCAAGGATACCCTCAAAAGCCCTCACATCTTTGCTGATGATACAGATGAGGGCCCTAGAGGGGGGACTGTGCCCATTCCCATGAGGGGATGAGGTTGTCCATTGCCATGGTGGCCAGGGAAGAGCGCCCGAGAGTGAATGACAGTCCCAAGGTGGGCCCAGCACAAGGACATTCCCACCACCATGCAGGAGCCTCGGGACCCGGATGTTGTAGGTAAGCAAACTACATTCCTTTTTTTTTTTTTTTTTTTTTTTTTGGTACTAGGAATCAAACTCAGGACCTCGCACTTGCCAGGCAGGTGCTTATGCCACTGAGCTCTATCCCCGGCCCTGCATTCCTTCTTAAGACATTGGGGAATCTTAATTCCAACCTCTTATTGGGGTAAATTATCATCCTATGCCTTAGTTGTTGCGGGCCTTAAGGACTTCACTGATCTGGTTTCTTTATCCTCCTTCTGAACTGCCTGTTGGCAGGTTCCTCTTCCAAGCTGCCTCATGTATAGTACCCAAAATGCACCATACCAATAGTTGAAAGCGGTCACGTACACTCCTGCTCAGGGCCGCGCTTGTTCAAACCTGTGGCAGCCCGCAATCTAACTGCCAGGGACCTGGCCAGCCCGGCTCCAGCAGGCCAGATTTGTCTGCCAGGAGTTGGTCCTCAAGCGTGGTATGATGGCACCCCAGGGTGGGCTGTCATGGCCACCGAGTAATTATTCAGCTCAAGGGCCTTAATCTATACCGTCAGGCAGTATCCCCTTAAAAGAGAGGCTAGGCTGGGGCTAAAGCCCATGATTGATGCGTTTTTGGATGACAGGCTGGCTTGCTGGTGCCATGCCAGTCCCCATGCAACATACCAGTAGTCAGGCCATCCTGAGAATACTGCCTTGTCTAAGCGCTCAGGATCACCAAGGAGGCGGTGCTGGCTGCTCACCCCTAGCGGTAGGCCTGTACACACTCTCTTTGCACAGATCCCAGCACATACTAACTGGCTTTCTGTCCCTGATCTCAAGGACACCTTCTTTTCTATTCCGGTGGACGCTACTCCCAATTCTTGTTAGATGACCTCTCCAGGAGAAAACCCAAACCACCTGTGGCACCAGAAAATGGAGACCTGTGAACCAATGGATGGCCTCACATTTGTTTTCTGAAAACATCAACCAACCTGCTGAGTCAGGTAAGTACCCCATTGTGTCCCCTCCACATAAAGTAAAATCAACCCCATCCTGGCAAAATGGTCCCTCCTTGCATGTCTTGTGTGTGACTCCCGTTTACCATGACTCACTCTGTGAGCTCCTCACCCTGTCATAAATTGACCTCTATTAGTTTGTTCTTTTTTTCCTTGGGATCCTCTTTGGTGGCTCAGAAGGCCTCCAGGGGAAACAGTGAACAGTGACTATTTCCACATCTAATCCGTCTCTTACTAAATTCTACTAACCCATCTCCTCTTAGATCCAACCCATCCCTTAGTAACTCCTACTAATCCCAACCTAGTCAAGGACCGTCAGTTGTCCTTCCCCGTCTTCCAGCCAATCTACTGCTGTGCCCATCCCGGCTCGATTCTGGGCTACTAGAAAGACCACCTTCCACCCCAAATATCAAGCGGGTGTCCCTTTCAGCTAATGTTCTTAGACAGCCCGGACGATTTTCAGGTCAACAAAATAACCAGGGTAACCTCAAAATGACCAGGGCAAGTGACCAGGGAGGGCTGCTTCCCTGCCTCAATTCTGTCGAAGTAATCCCACTCAGGTTTCTTGCACAAACCCACCCATCTGGGGCCCCAAATCCATCTGCATGTTGCTTCAGTTCCAGGCACCCCTCTGTATAAAGAGGATGCAAGACCAGGGCCAGAGTCAAGATTTGGGGACATTTAAAGGACTCAGGTTGCAAACAGATTCTAAAGGTAAAGCCCTCACTGGACCGTGCCAGCAATCAGGTAACCCAAGCTGCACCTTTCAAAAACCTGGCGCTGTTCTCACAGAACTTGTGTATTTCTCAGCACACAGGCTTCGGAAGCAGGGTTAGGGTACTGGCAAGGGAGACCTCCAATTATGTTCCTATATTCCCATGGGAAGGCTGCCCAAGCCCAGGGACTGCTGGTATCTGGTTATGAACCCAACTGAACAAATACTAGTGGATACCAGAAGCAATTTTATATATTGAGAAAGCACAACTACGAGAGCTACTCCAGATACTTTGGGCCCTTTCAGCCTTTCACTGAGGTACACTGGCAGGGACTTCACCGGCGAAAATGAAAACAATCAGCTCACCCAAATTGAAAATAATTTGTCTTGGGACTCAGAAGCTTTTCCTCCTGTGCGACACTAACTCCTACTTGTGTCTTCCAGCCAACTGGACAGGTACATGCGCCCTTGCTTCTCTGGCCCTGAAGACCAACACAGCATCTCACAGCCAATCCCTTCGAGTTCCTGTAGCCACCACGACTTCCCCCGACAGGGCCTTCAGTAGTGCTTCTCACAGCCTATTTTGACCGTGCGTATTTAATCTCTTGGTCAAATTTATTTCCTCTCATTTAATAGCTGCTAAACGACAGATGATGATCCAAGCCAAGGACCAAAACCTGCCTTCACGTCTAGAGCTCATCAAGGAATCCTTGGAGGAAGAGTATGGCTCACTCAGCTCAAGCTTCAGTAGGGCTCAAGCCAGGCAAGAGTTCCACACTCTCCACATAGGTAGAGCCACCACTCCTATTCATCAGAAAGCAGCTGCAGAAGACAGACATTCCGTCCTCAGCACCCTTAAAGATTTTCAGGGACCAGGTCTCTTGGGGAGATAATACTGATAGTACAACTGGGGCTGATGGACCACTCTCCTCCGTTCATCTGAACCTGGGCAACGCCCCAGGCCAACCCCCTGACCCCTGTCCTAAGGCTCACTATTCAGAGGCAGAGATAAGAAAAACAGACTCCTGAGTCTGCCCTGGAAAATTCCAAAATTCCAAACCAGGATAAATGCATGCCAGACCTGCTAGCATGGCCTCCAATAACCTTTCTTCACTTGGAGCTCACTGAAGGTTCATGCATATGGACTGCATCTCATAGTGCAATTATGACAGGGTGAGTAACGGGAAAGGACATGTGAAGCAGATGCAGTTGACAACTCAACACCCTGTCAATCACAATGTCAATCATGCTCTGGAAGCCCCAGTGAGAGGAGCCCTAGATCCGGTACACCATTTTAAATCCTTAAACCAAACCGCTCAGTGCTTGTCCCTTTTTCCTTTCTGATGGCACAAGCCTGACCCCTCCAAGTGTGCTGTGTCGCCTGATTAAACTTCGCTGCTGTTTCCTTACTGTCACGTGTCACGTCCAATTCCTTGTTCACTGCACCCAAGAACCTGGGAACCCACCTGGAAGCCCATCACCCATGGTAATAAAGAACTTCCAAAATGTGATTTAAAAAATATTCAAATTAATAGTTACAAGTCAGACTCCAACTAGCCAAGGTGTTTATTAAACACATCGCTTTTCATGGGCTTCCCCATCTACAGGCTGTCTAGTCCAAGACTGCCAACTCTGAACGACCCGTGCCTCCAGCTTTTCCAGCCACTCTGTTGACCCAGCCCTGTTGCCCCTCTAGAATTCTCTCTAAAAAAGATGCCACCGAGGAAAACACCCTGCAATCTGGTGGAACCCAGGCTCCCCCTTGTGGTGTGTTCCTAAATAAGCATGTTATACTCTGCTCCCGCAGTCCCCTAAATGGTGAGAACATGCTAGCATTAGCTTCTACAATACCTCTTATTTAATGAAAGCCAACAGGGAGAGATGACAACCACAACAGAACAAACTGCAAATGGGAAGAAGGCGGCTGTTCCACCTCTAAAAGCTTAGAGATGACTGAAAGCTTAGAGGAGACTCGCTGGGCTGGAGAACAGCAGCAGGGATGAACTGATCCAAGTCAGTCCCTGATTTCAGAGGCCAAGCTAAACTCAGAGAGCGAGAGAGAGGCAGGCGGACAGAGACAGAGACAGACAGACAGACAGACAGACACACACACACACACACACACACACACACACGAGACAGAGACCGACAGAATACCCCACCAATGTTGAAAGCCTCAACAGAATGCTTGCTGTGGCTAGGCCCGTGCATATTGCTTGCGAACATGCAGAAGAGGATGTACTGCTGTGTCACCTGGAACCTTCAAGACAACCTCTGCCTGAAAATGATCTAACTTCTTTAAAACATGTGCTCCCCTGAACAGAACTGGAGGAAACACTTGTATTCACATTTTAGATCTATCCCAGAGTTCTCAGGGGTGCTTTACTCTTAGACCAACGCTAGTGCCTGGGTGTCCGGCTGCTCAGCTCCGCGCGCTGCCACCAGAGAAGGGAATACCGAAGGCTTCTTGGCTTCTCAGCTGGTTGGGGGCTGAGGGCACGGAGCTTCAGCTGCAGCACAGGGAGAGTGGAGGTTTCCTTGCAGTTCAGAGGTTTATTAGTGAGTGGGTTGGGGCCAGCTGTGCTTACAGGCTTGCTCCCTGCAACCTTGGTGCCCTGGCTTCAGGGGCAGGTGAGGCTCACTGCTCTGCTGGTCTCTGGTGATGTTATCCCAGGAAGATGCTGGATCTCTCTTCTGGGTCCAAGGTGCCAGGGCTCCCAGCAGGTGCTGTCAGAGGGCCTCCACTTTTGTTTTCAGTTCCTGACCTGGGGGGATGAGGGTTTTGAGGATCTCAGTGTAGTAGGGGCCAAACACCTGCTGATTGTACTGTGTCAGGTTGATGAACTTCTGGCCCAGTTCTGCCAGCTCCGGCTCAATGAGAGTGAGGCCTCCGGGAAGGTCTAACAGAGAGCGCTGCACACCAAGAAGCAAACAGCACTTCAGAAACAAGTGGATCCGCTGATCTGTGAGCAAAAGAAGACAATGAGAAGGTTAATGGCAACCAGACTTCACCGAGAAACACTGGTCCTGCCCTACCCTCTACTCGCCTGCCTTCTCAGTTAACTGAGATCTTCCCCAACCTGCCTACTCACCTACAGGTAAGGAAATGTGTCATGTCTGGGAAGGGAGCTATCACTAGCTCTCAAGGACAAGGCAAAGATTAAAAAAACAAAAACAGCCAGCATGTTGCACACACCTGTAATCCAGCACTTGGGAGGCTGAACAGAAGGACCACTGCGAGTTCGAAGCCAGCCTGAACTACATAATGAGACCCTGTCTCAAACAGCAAAATCTAGTGGGTTAGTAAATTTCTGAGTACTCAGCATTAAGTAGCTATTAGTGAGATCCCAGGGAGTATATGACACAGCAGGAGGATCTCAGATTGATCGTTCAGATGACTACAGCAACCTGGCCAAGTTCACAGCATTTATTCTAGCATGGGACAGAGGAGTTGTATACTACAGGACCTGTCTTTCAGCCTAACAAAGATTTCTGTTGGGGCTGGGGATTTAGCTCAGCAGCACAGTGCCTGCCTGGCAAGTGCAAGGTCATGAGTTCGATTCCCAGTACCGGAAAAAAAAAAAAAAAAGATTTCTGTTGTGGTTGGGGGTGGCTGTGATACGTGTGTGTACAGATGTGCATGTGTGTATGAAATTGGATTGTAGAGAGTGACCAGTAGGCCAGGGTGACTTAACTGGGTTGGCTGGAGAGTATTTTTCATCCAGAAGTCATAGATTCCTGCACGCAAATCTGCCTTAGAACCACAGTCAGTCTTGGAACTGCAAGGGATACACTTTCAACCTGGCACAACGGTGACTGGAGACTTTCCACTGATCTGTCTTCTCTTGTGAAATGGTTCCATACCTGGCTTCCAGGGCTGGGGTCTCTTCCCTCCTCCAACATTCTTACCACCCACTGCCACACTCACCGATGACGCCGCGGACGCAGTTCTCCTTCTTGGCAATGTTCTGGAGCTGCCTGATCAGAGATGCTGTGTTGTCACTACTCAGAGCAGCAAGGCCCATGCTTCTCAGGCTTTGATGGATTTCCTGAGATACCTGTTCACTCAAAGTCTGCATAGCATCCTCAGGCCTAGAAGATGACCAAGAGTACGGTGACACCCAGAAGATGGTCCCAGTAGCGGACAGGAACCAGAACACTCCACACCAGAAGTTAGGCCACTGCGGGACAGACTCAGCTACCCTACCCTCAACCCGCAGCAGCAGGACCTGAAAGGCAGGCAGTCTCATGCTACCTACAAGACACCAACTGCTCCATAAAGTGCCACGTCCTGCTTCTCAGAAGATGAACTATAAAATTAACTCTGAAAAAGAGCTTAAAGATTCTACCACAAGATCCTCTCAGCACTGTTTAGTCCCCTGGATTTTATTTTTATTTACTTATTTTTAGTTTTGGGGTGCTGAGGACCAAGCCCAGTGCCTGGCACTTGCTAGACAAAGCTAAATCCCCAACCCTTGGATTTTATTTTTACTCTTATTTTTTATTTCAAAGAGAATAAAAAAAATTTTAAAAACATTAGAGATGATACAGAATTTCAAAAAACAAGATATTAATTCAACAATGATTATTATATTGCATATATTGTCTTCAAAGTAGCTGTTCAGATTACCAACTATAAGCATGCCAAATTGGTCAAAAAAATTAAGCATTACCTGTCCTTTCAATAAACCAATAGAAATTAGTAGTACAATTATCTTAGCTATCTTGTATATATATATATATATTATATATATATATATATTTTTTTTTTTTTTTAAATTATTTTTCCTGGGCTGGGGATTTAGCTCAGCGGCAAAAGCGCCTGCCTGGCAAGTGCAAGGTCGTGAGTTCGGTTCCTGGTACTGGAGAAAAACCAAAAAAAATAAAATAAAATAAAATAATTTTTCCCTTCTTTTTCTCCTTTCCCTCATCGCAGTTGTTCTTTCCTTTTGAGCAGTTTCTTTCTCTTTCACAATATCTATTGTACCTTTCAGATTTTATTTTTTCTTTCAGGTTCTTATACTAGGGAGACAGTACGATGTTTACACATGTAGGTCTGATTTATATCATTTATGAGTACGGTCTCTAGTTGCATCCATTTACCTATAAAAGCCTCAAGTTTATCTTTTTTTACAGCTGAGTACTACTCCATTGTATAAAAATACCACATCTTTTTTATCCATTCTTCAGTTGATGGGTATTTGGGTTGTTTCCAAGATTTAACTATTACAAACTGCACTGCTATAAATAAACATGGGTGCACATATATCGCTGTGATATGATGTTTTGAGTTCTTCTGGAAAAATACCGAGAAGGGGAATAGCTGGCTTGACTGGGACCTCTAGTGCTAGTTTTTTGAGGAATCTCCACACTGATTTCCACAGGGGTTGCACCAGTCTATATTCCCACCAACAGCGGAAAAGGGTTCCTTCCTCCCCACAGCCCCTCAAGCATTTGTTATTGGTTGATTTCTTGATGACAGGCATTCTTTCTGGGGTGAGATGGAATCTCAGGGTTGCTTATAAATATGCAATGCTTCACGAATTTACATGTCATCCTTGCATAGGGGCCATGCTAATCTTCTCTGTATCATTCTGATTTTAGTATATGTGCTGCCAAAGCGAGCACTTTGTTTTTACATATACATTTTAAAGCCTTTCCTGGATATCTGCCATGATCATCTGTCCTATCTTATCAACAACAATTACAAACCTGGCCTTGTGAATTTTCTTTTTTTTGCAGTGATGGGATTGAATCCAGGGCCCCATGCATGTTAGGCAAGAGCCAGACCTCTAAGCTCCATTTCCCCCCACAAACTTGCCTTCTTCTCCTTCTTTTCTTTTTCCTTCGGTGCAATGCATTTGTACAGGTCTTGTCAATACTGCTGACCAACCAGCTCCTGGATACGTTTGCTAACACCAGCCCACTGTCACCCACCCAACTGAACAATGACTCACTTGACACTAACTGTCCTCCATACTACCCTTTGTGGAAGAAAAGTTTTATTTTTCTGTCACAAGCTTCAAGATCACTTATGGGGAAAAAAAAAATCAACATTCTTTGTGAATGGTTCCAAAGGGCCTTTCTGTGGTTTGTGGTGGACAGTAAGCACCAATTCATTACCTGCCTGTGTCCTGAGTATCACGTATCACCCTCTGCTCTCAAAAAGATCAATGAAGCGTACCTAGCGTTGAATTCCTCCATCAGGGCCTTGGTGAGACGCTTCATCTTATCCATGAACTGAGGTGAGCCACACAAAACACTGCCAGAGAAACTGCTGGCCACGAGCAAGACAGAGGCCAGGATGGTTAACTGCTGCAGCTGGGCCTCCAGCTCCTGCAGCTGGGGTCTGTCCATCTGCAGGGTCTGGGAACCAGGGAAGAGCAGGCTGTCACGACGGGGTCCCGACGGAAGCCCTGACACAAAGCAAGGTAACGACCCCCTCCTACCTCAGGGAACTCTTCATTTTCAGGGTCCCACAGGAGGAGGTTGAGGAAGCCCTGGGACAACACCACTGCGGGGCTGAGGGGCTCAGCGCTGCTGGCTGCGCTGCTGGCTGCCTCATCTGGAGAAAGACCAGCCACACCAGAGGAGTCGGCAGAGTTGGGGCAAGTTGATGGCATGGTGAGGTCTGCTGCTGCTTGGGCGAGCCACTTGGTGGTGTGATCGAGGAGGCCTAGGACAGCAAAGGGACTGGGTAAGAATCTTTGTCTCTGAAGCTTTAAGACCAAGGTTCAAGGTCTACTCATGCTTAATAAGTAAATTCTTTGGGATCTTTCCATCTTAGTTAAATGTTTGCCTCCCCTGACCTGAGGAAAAAGCATTCGACTCCTAAAACAGGCCGGGTACCCTACTGCGGAAGTAAGACACAAGCCGCACCTTTCTGCTCTTCCCTTGCATTATACATACCAGGCTGCTGGTCAAGTTGTTCCTGGAACTTAGCCCGCTCATACTGGATGGAATGCTCCTGCAGCTGGGGCTGAAGGCTCTGGATGGTATAGTTCACCATGTCCATTTTCATCAGGCCCAGAACCTGGAAGATCCCTCTGAGATAGAGGGAAAAAGAGTATTTATACTACAAGAGGAGATCTCGTGAGAGGGAAACCCACATGAGGAGCCATTAAAACACTGTACTCTCAAGCTGGGCGTGGTGGCGCACCCCTGTAGTCCCAGCACTCAGGAAGCTGATGCAGGAGGATTGCTATGAGTTTGAGACCAGCTGGCCTTCACAGTAAGTGGAAGGCCAGCCTGAACTACATAGTGAGATTGTTTCTAAAACAAAACAAAAAACTCAAAATAAATAAATCACTGTATTCATAAAACTTAGTCCTACCATCCTACATTTTTAAAAGATAACATGTGACCCATGACCCAAGGCCAGGAGTGAGGGGCAGAAGTGGAAACAGCTAGGTTTTTTTTCACTACAATCATTCTGTCATCTCAAAGGGTAAAGTCAGAAGAAGGAAGCAGCAATCTTATCTGCAAGGTGAGTTTAAAGGTGATGCTATTCTTATATGATGCTATTCCCGACTCTTTGGCCAAACTGGCTTTTTAAAATGTAGTTAATTTTTATTTATTATTTATTTTTTACTCTGTGGTTGTTAGTTCCTTAGTTCCTAAAGCTATGAAACGGGTATAACCTTCCATCCCTCCCTATACGATGTGACACGAGGAAGGAATGCTTTCACTCCTGAAAGGAAAAAAATTTATCTTTTGGCAGCATATACACAGTGGGGCCCAATCAACCTAAGGAACCTCAGGGCCCTGCGTGAGGCCATCTTGCAAAAGAAAAAACCAACAGGCCAAAGAGCAGAAAAGGGGCAGAGCCACGTCTTCAGCAGGGAGACAATGGCTGCAATCCAGCGCCAGGCCCAGCTTTTCCAGGCCCTGGGGCGGGGCGGTTTTCAGGGAGCAGCAGTCAAAGTCCACACCTCAATAACCCAACAGGGTCTGTAATGTCCTCAAGGGTCTGCACAGCTTTGTCTCGGACTGGCGCACACAACAGAGTCATCATGTTGAGAATGTACTTAGAAAGAGAAGAGATGTCCAAGGCCCCCCGTTCTGCTTCCTGCTTGAGGAAATCTGCATCCAAAGCTGCTTCGATTTCACTTCTTAGGCGGTTCTGGCGAGGTAATAGCAGAGACAGCAAGATCTGCCTCGGAAAGAAAGTCAAAGCAGGAGTTAGACTCTGATTAGAGCTCCACACTTTCTCCAGTGGGTAACCCCTTTAGCTACACACATCTTTTGAGGATCAAGAGATTGGGATCCTGAATTTCGTATAGAATATCATTTACCTCCATTTAGGGGCCAGTAGTAATTTGAAGTTAAAGGGGATGAAGTACGGCAATAGTGCATTATTTTCTAGGCAGAATGAGATAGATGAATAAAATCAAAGGGGGCAATAAAAATGCAGAGTACTACAAACAATTATCACATAGTCATGAGGTATTCAATTTTAAAAGGCAGACATTTTCGAGATTATTTTAAAGGGCAAGAATGAAATAGGCAAAGGCACTGCTACGAGTCACCTGAAACAGCCTACTGACCCCAAATGTAAGTCTTTGGTGGACAAGGACTCTCCTTACCTGCACAGCTGTAATACGAGTACACAGCCAGAGAACATGGGGGTGGGGTAAAGTGAATGTTTAATTCAGCGGAATACCGTGTGGTCACAGCAAAGTCCCAACTGTTTAGCTCTGCATTAAACAAATGAGACTGCCTCTGAACTATGATTGTTAAAGTTATAAAAGCCTCTCTTCCAAATCTACACTTTAGTTCCTCCTCCCAGTAAGTTCCTTTATTGCGGAAGCTTCTCTTCGTTCAAACCGCTGTGTGGTTTCTGTCTCCTCATTGTACCCTGACTGATAAACTGGTATTGTGAGGTTTGAACTCAAATAGTGATATGTCCATTGGATCTGATGAGTGGGAAGGAGCGAGTACTTTACACACCTTAGAAACATGTACAAACTGGAGGATGGCCGAAATTCACAGGCCTGGCACTTCAAGACCACTAGAGCTCCAGTGGTCTGGAGTTTGTCAGGGCATCCTCTTGAAGATGAAGGAGAAGCTGCTGTAGCTGAAACCACCCACCCTGAAAGAGGAACAACACTTGATAGGCTTTTTTGGATTTCTGAGGCAATATACACCAAATCTGAATTTGCTACTTTGACACTCACATAGAATGATGCAAAAGGTTATAAATTTCATGTGAGTTCCAGAACAGGAGTAGACTTCACTGCAAGTGGAGGCTGTGGTATAAGCCATTCTACCACCTGGGTCTCATGAGTCAGCAGATCTACTCAGAGATGAAGTGTCTGTGGCAACTGAGGACGCTGTATAAAAATATCCTGCAAGCACCAACAGGAACTCACAACACAGGCCCCTAGAATTTGAAACAAATCTATGTTCTCTCTGTAGATAACTACCTGCCTTTCGAGAAGGAGCTTCTGGCTTACTACCAGGCCTTGGTAGAAAGTAAAACCTCACCATCAAATAATCCTATGGCCTGAGCGTCCCATCAGGAACTAGGTGGTGCCTAATGTACCCAGCCAATACCACAGGATAAGCACAGCAGCACTCTCTCATCAAATAAAAGTAGTCTATAAGCAACCAAGCATATACTAGCATAAACACAGGTATACAGACAACAGCATAGAATAGAGATCCCAGAAATAAGACCTGAATAACATGGCCAAATGACTTTGAACAAGGCTAAGTTAATGGAGAAAGAATAGTCTTTTCAATAGATGGTGCCAGGAACACTGGATATCCACATGCAAAAGAATGAAGTTAGACCTTTATCTTATACCATATTAAAAAATAATTCAGAATGGATCAAAGAGCTAAAACTATAAAATACTTAGAAGAAAACACAGGAAGTGTTGGGAGTGTGACTCCGCAGTAGAGCACTTGTCTAGCATGCACAAAGCCTTCGGTTCAATCCCCAACACCATAAAGGAAAACAAAAGCAAAAAGCATAGAAGTGTTTAAGATCTTGAATTCAGCACTGAGTGTGGTGGCACATGTCTATAATCCTAATACTCAGGGAAGTTGAGGCAGGAGGACTGCAAATTTGAACTATAATAATAATTATAATTAGTGAGACCTTGTCTCAAAATAAAAAAGAGCTGGGGATCTAGCTCAGTGTAAAGCACCTAGTTTCAACCCCCAGTACTACAAAACACATGAAAAAAACCTCAAGATATTGAATGTGGCAAGATATGACATTGAGAACATCAGAAACCAAAGGAAAACTAAAGTAGACTTGATCAAAATTAAAATTTTGGCACATCAAAGGACAAAAAGTAAATTAAAAAGACTAACCACAGAATGGGAAAAAGGTTAACAAACCATCTGGCAAGGGTACAGCCCCCCCTAACATGTAAAGAACTCTTACAATTCAATGACAAAGGACAGCTATCCAATACAGATCTTCAGTGTCCATACAGCTTGCAGCTTAAACCCTGCCATGGTCTGAGGAATGTCAACTATTCAATATGGAGGCGGAAGTCAATAAGCTGGAACTGATGGGCCCAGGATTTGAGGCTAAGACTCTTAAGTTCCAGCTGTCCTGAATTTGAGGCAATTTCTTGGCAGACTTAACCCACTAAGCAGCTAACCAGCTGAGCTGGACTATTTAAAAGAAGGGTCTTACTACATAGTTTAGACTGACCTTGAATTCAGTATGTAGCCCAAGCTGGCCTGGAACTTACCATCCTCCTGCCTCAGCTTCCTGAGTGCTGGGATTACAGGTGTGTGTCACCATGCCTGGTTCCATTCCAGAAGGCTGACTCTGATCTGGATTACATTCAGTACAGGCTGGAATATGAAATCAAGACTAATGATCCTGATTCAGCAGGCAAGAAAAACCCAGTTACACTCTGAAAGGAATTGTCAGCAATAAAGTCTCAAAATCAAACTTTGTATGCACGTTTTAAACCAGCTGCTGCTGAGCAAAAAGAGACTAGGAGTCACATTTATGCTACTTTGAATAAAATTATGTTCATGATATAAGAACTGCAAAAGCAAACAGATCTGGAGCTATCGCTAATGACCGAAGAAGAAAAAACAGTGGCACAGCAATTAAAACCTCACGTGTCATACTTAGGAAGAAATGGAACTGCAACAGGGAACTCTAACGAAGAAGAGATCAATTCCTGGGGAATCTAGAAAGATGCCTTGCTAACAGTGCATGACTAGAGGTGGGGAGTGGGTAGAGGAGGAGAGGTGTGGAGGAGTGATAGGGTTGTGATGCCTCTCACAAGAGAGGAGGCTATAAGAAGAGCAGATAATATATTAATAAAATTCAGCCAAAGGATGGAATGGAAATAAAGGGATTTAAGCATGTACACACACAGTTTTGTAATTTTCAGTCTGTGATTGCCTGAATGAGCATCCATTAGAAATTAAAGTATAGGCAAAATATTTGTATTATATACTCTCTATAGGTACAAACCTTCATTTTTGAAAATGGTGATGGCAGATGGGGTTACATTACTGGTAAGACCACTAATCTGTGAAGTGTAGCCTTTCACAAAGGCTACAAAGTGTAGCCTTTCCAATAATATGCTGGATTTCTAATTCAAGGACAAAAAGACAAAAATTGCTATCTAAGGATGGGCAGAAGACTCAACAAAATGACAGTTTTAGTTAAAGATGGGCAAAGGACGTCAGTAAACGTTTCAAGGAGATGTTAAAATGGTCAGAAAACACATGAATAGATGCTCAACATCTTTCACCATTAAGGCAATCCAAGTCAAGACCACAGTAAATACCACTTCATACCATTAAAACAGCAGGGAGGAGGACGGGAAGGGGAGGGGCAAATAGCAAGCATTTGGCAAGATGAAGACAAAGTGGAACCATGGCACACTGCTGGTGAAAATGCAAAATGGTACAGCTGCTATGGGAAACAGTGTGGCAGTTCCTCAAAATGTTAACCAAAGAATGACCATGTGAAGCCAGGCACGGTGGGGCACACCTGTCATACCACCACTAAATTTGAGTCCCACCTGGGCAACTCAGTAAGATTCTGTCTCAAAAATGCAATCCCCATCACACATACATACACAAAAGAACTACCACTTTAATCCAGCAATTCTAAGTACCTACCCAGATGAACTGCAGGGACTCAGATACTAGCATACCATTGTTTATAGCAGCATTATCTAGAATAGCCAAAAAGTAGAAACAACATGAATGTCTATCAACTGATGAATCAATATAATGTGGCCTATTCCACATATTACTCAGCCGTAAAAAGGACTGAGATTCTGATAAATGCTACAACATGGATGAACCTAAAAACATTACGCCAAGTGAAGTAAGACCAACACAAAGGACAATATGATTTGATTCCACTTAGGAGTTACGAAGAGTAGTCAAGTTCATAGAGCTCAGTGGCGCAGCGCCTGCCTGGCAAGTGTGAGGTCCTGAGTTCAATTTCTGATACAAAAAAAAAATTCATGGAAATAAAAAATACAGTGACTGTTACCAAGCACTGAGTGGAAAGGGGCCTTCCTGTTTAATGGGTACAAAGTTTCCACTTGGGAAGCTGAAAGAAGTATGGAAATGGATGGTGGTGCTGATCACACAACACTGAATGTATCTAATGCCACTGAACTGTAACACTTAAAAATGCTAAGTCCTGTTATGCATATTTTACCACAATAAAAACATCCTTTCATTTATCCAACCCCTGCAAAACCAAGCCTCCAATATACCCTGTTCCCCAGGAAGGATCAGCCAGCCACCTTGTCCACTGAGGAGACAGAGATTCATTCTAGAATCGACATATTCTCGGTATCAGTCTGTCTTCTCTGCCTTGACGCTTCTGTAAGCACCTACACCCGTGTACTCATGAAATGCCTCATCCATCATCCCAGGCCCTGGTAGGCTCCATAGCACCGCATCTGATGAAGGAACGCACCTCATAGCAAAGGAAGGGCAGTTATGGGTTCAAACCCATGGAATTAACTGGGGGGACCAAATAACCCCACTGAGAACATCAGCTGTCCTGAGGTGGGAGGCATACTGAAGACCACAGCATTAGCTGAGCAGCAACCCCTGGAAGGAAAAGGCTGTCTTGAGGAACACAATATATCCTTTGAATGGAAAATCATTCTACGAGCTGCCTCCCCAAGCTGGAATATTGGGCTCAGCAGTCAAGACACAGCGCTGGCTCCTCTCACTAATATCCCTCAGAACCCACGTGCTCATTTTTTGTTTGCCGTTCTTCCAGCCTTGAGTTCCGCTGATTCAGAAGAAATACTTGCATTGGTTCTAATGAATTAAAGGATGAAACTGCCACCTGGCCACTGTGAGCTCCTTGTACCACGGAACCAAGCAGTAAGATGTAAGTCCTACTAGGTAGCACCAATCTTGCTTCTCCTTGGTACTTCAGTGTGGGCAAGGATTACACCCAGAGCCCAGGAGACCTCTAAGTTGCCTCTTACTACTCAAACCCAATAATATGGAAACCAGAGCAAACAAAAAAGCAAAGCACTTGAGAACTCACAACTCTCAAATGGAAGTCTGAGCCATCCCATCTGATATACAACCTCAACCGGCTGAGGGAACATGGAATGAACAGTGGCAGAAACAGCCACGGATGCCAAGTTTAGCCCTGAGGCCAGGTAGAGAAACAAGGGCTAAACATTTCTTTTTGCTAGTTATAGGTATGTTTGCCTGTATATCTTTTGTTTTTGGTCTTTTTAACACAGGGTCTCGTTATGCGGTTCAGGCTGGCCTTGAGCTCACTTTGTAACCCAGGCTGACCTTGAACTTGCTGCAATCTTCCTACCTCAGCCCTTCCGAGTGCTGGGATTACAGGTGTGCACCACCCCACCTGGCCTTTGTATATCTGATTTTGTTCTTCCTCTTCCTTCCCATTATTTTATACATGGACTATTAACTGTACACTTTAGTTATTTAGGTAACAGAATATTTGGTGAGCCTATTATGAATTTGGCCATGTGTTTCCTCATTTTGAGAAGAATGAGAAATTGTAAGGCGTATGTTTGTCCATTTTTCTTTTTTTTTTTTGGTGCTGGGGACTGAACCCAGGACCTTGAGCATACGAAGCACCCACTCTATCACTGAGCTACACCCTCGGACCCAGAGGGTTCAGGAATTCAGATGTGTACAGGGTGGTGCTTCTAGAAGCTGAGTAACCAAAAGGGTGGCCAAAGGCCCATGCCATTTATCAGTATATTGCTTGTCAGCTACAAATCATCCTTTTCTCTGCTGTAAAAATCGAGCTAAATCCTTCCATGTTTCCCTTATGAGGTGCTGCAATTTCCAACTTGATCTGCAGAGTGTTGTTTAAAATGTGTTCTGTGCTGTACGGCATGCTGACGCAGCCGCCAGCGTTCAACACTGTTTCCTCGCCCTTCTTGGGTCAACAGTCCAGACACACCTGCGCTACATCCTCCCCTCAAGCCCTCTTCAGGGGCAACACACTGGTAGGCAGGCTGCACTCTCATGTGGAAGCCTGACTGGGGAAGACTGTGTATAAGCTCATTCAGACTGGGCACAATTTGCTTCCTTATAGCTGTATTGGGGTCTCAGCTTCTGACAGTTGCCTGCACGCTGCCCCCTGGTCCTAACGGTCACCTGCAGTTCCCTCTCCACAGACAGTTCACAGCATAGCTCTCTGCATCTTCCGGGCTGGCAAGAGACTCATTCTCTCTAGTCAGCTGCGATGGAATCTTATATAAGGAAATGTAATCACGGGCGTAAATCCCATTACCTTCACCTCGTTCTATTGGTGAGAAAGAAGTTGCAGGTCTTGTCCACACTCACAGGGAGGAGATTATACAGACGAGCAGATACTGCAGTGATGCTGCACAGGCAAGAGCCGGTCTTGGAATGCACGCTCGGCAGGGTCCTGCGGTCGGAGTGGTTTCTTCAGTCTTCAGCGTCAGCAGCAGATGGTGATCAGCAGCAGACACAGCCTACCACTTCCTCTGGCATAGCTGTGACCCTCAAATTAGCTCCTTGAGTGCTTTGTGTCAATCCCATGAGCATGGGACACTCCAGTATGTCTGATATTCCAGATTCTGTAAGGTCCTCTTCCCTTGTTACTAGCCGTGCCCTTGTTTCTCCAATTCCCTGTTCTAATCATTTCATATTAACCTTGTTGTTTCAAACTAGTGTATGGCTCTGATTCATGACCGTGCTCAGTCAGGGTGTGCTCACTTGATACTCCGACAGCTGGGGTGTTGAGGGCATCCCTGACACCTGAGCAGTGGAAGGCCACTCACCTCCTTAGTATCATTCAGAAGGTCAAGAGCACAACCGAAGTCAGGAGGAGTAGCTGAGAGCTGCTCTTTAAGATGGTCCCAGAAGTCATTGTGCACTGCCTCTTTCACCTTGCCTTCTGGACTGGAAGAGGGTTAAATAAACAAGTTACTCTCCAGAAACTGCTCCGGAGTCATAATCTCCTAAGCCCCAAACAGTATTTGATACGGAAAAGGGTGATGATACAGCTAAGAAAGTGCCAGGGACTGGACCACAGCAGAGCTGATTTGGACTTCAAGGGCATCAGTGAAACTTCTCAGAAGAATGTCTCATGATTTCAGTAGGAAATCTGTAGTAGGAAGAACTCTGAATAAGGAGAAACCAGGCCAGTTTTAGCACTGACTGGGCACCTAGCCTGCATGTATGACTCTATATACATAATATATATGGCATTTTATGGCATTGTATGTCACTTGATATATACACATGTCACTGAACTAAATGATCATTCACTTTCTTATATTCCTAAAATCTAGGAAAAGATTTTCCTTCATTGATGAACATTTGCATGTCAGAGATATTTAAACCAGTGAGCTGGTTTAAAATGAATTCATTATTTAGTCCCTCCACACCTATTCCTCTTCTATTCTCAATCTGAGTAGCATTACCATCTATCCAGTCATGGTGATGTTTTCCGGTTTTGTTGTTGTTGTTGTTGTTATTTGAGACATCATTTTGCTATGCAGTTCCAGCTAGCCTTGAACTCACTATGTAGTCCAGGCTGGCCTCGAACTTGAGGTGATCCTCCTGCCTCAGCCTCCCGAGTGCTGGGATTACAGGCATGTGCCACCATCCCGGGCTCTATCCAGTCATGGAAGCCAAAAAGATCTTTTTGTTGTTTTCACCTTTAACTAATACAATATGCAAAGGCAATCCAATTTAGAAATTTTCAACAAAGATGTTGTTGGAACTAGAGATCCATATACAAAAACTGAATCAAAACCCTGATCTTACAACCTTCAGAAAGCTAAACTCAAAATGAATCATAAATCTATAAGTAAAACATAAAACTATAAAACCCTAAAAAGATAACATATGAGAAAAATCTATGTGACCTTGGGCTTGGTGATGACTTTTTAGAGACAACACTAAAAGCAATCAGGAAATGGAATGAAAAACTGGTAAGGTAGACTTCATTAAAATGAAAATTTTCACCAGGCATAGTGGCTTATGCCTATAATCCCAGAACTTGGGAGGCTGAGGCAGGAGGATCACTGTGGGTTTGAGGCCAGCCTGAACTGCATAGTGAGTTCAAACCAGTCTGAACTACACACACCCTTTCTCAAAAAAAAAAAAAATTAATTTAATTTAATTGAAATTTTCTGTTCTGTGAAAGACATTGTTAGAGAACAAAAAGAGAAGATGGGCATGGTGACATGCTTGTAATCCCAGCTACATGGGAGGCTGAGACAGGAAGATCACAAATTTGAGGCCAGCCTGGGCAATTCTGTGAGACCCTGTCTCAAAACTTTAAAAAAAAGGGCTAGGAATGTCTAGCAAATGGAAGACTCTGAGCTCAATCCCTGAAACTGGAAAAAATGAAAGCAAAAGGACAACCCACGAATTGGGAGACAATTTTTGACAAAGGATGCAAAGATAAATTGGGCACAGTGGCACAAGCTTGTAATCCCAGAAGTCAGGAGGCTGAGACAGGAGGATTGGGATGAGTTTGAGGCCAGCCTGGGCTACATAGTGAGTTCAAGTCTAGCCTGAACTACATAGTGAGACTCTGTCTCAAACAAACAAACAAAAGGATACAAAGATAAAAAGAACCTTTAAAATTTTACAATATGAAAAATGAATAGCCAAATCTAAAAATGGTCCAAATTTGTCTCAACAAAGAAGTTATAAAATCAGCGTACAAAAAGATGCTCAGCAGCATCCTGAGTGTTATAATTTGTGTCTCGACGTTCTTCCAAAGCCTTATGCATCCTTAGGCAGGGCTCTGGGAAGGGGACTGGACTGTGGAGCCTTGTAGCTGACTTGTGTTAGGAAGTATGTCTCTCTTCCCGCTCTACCCTCCCTTCCCCGCTGTCACGGGCTACCGTGAGGTGAGCAGCCTTTCCTTCACCGAGCCCCTCTGTCACACGTTCCTGACTTGGTACCAGCAGTGTGATCTTCCTGTCTCAGTTTTTATGAACTAAAAACGTGAGCCAAAATAAATCTCTCCCACTTGTGTTGTGGGTGTTGGACATTGTGTCCCACTGAGGAGAAAATGACTGAGGTAATTAGGGAACTGCAAATTAAAAAATAACATTTCACCACATACTTATTAGAAGGGCCAAAATCAGAATAGTGATAACACCAAATGCTGGCAAGGATGTTAAACATTTATTTACTCTGTCCATTTAAATGACTTTAAATGAACATGACATTATGATCAGAATTGCACCTTATGCGGGGGATATAGCTACGTGGTAGATGCACTTGCCTGGCAAGCCTGAGGTCATGAGTTCAATTCTTGGTACCAAAAAAAAAAAGAGAGAGAGAATTGCATGTTTGGTTTTTGTGTGTGTGTGTGTGTGTGTGTGTGTGTGTGTGTGGTAATGGAGATCAAACTCACGACCTTGCGCTTGCCAAGAAGGCGCTTATGCCACTGAGCTATATCCCCAGCCCTGAGAATTGCATCTTAAAAAAATCAATTTTAGTGTGAACTGGCAGCAATGTGGAAAACAGATTAAAAATAAAGAAGGCTGGAACAACAGGAACTTTCATTCATTGCTGATGAGAATGCAAAATGGTACAGCCACTTTCAAAGTTGGAGGGGTTAGGGATTTAGCTCAGCGGCACAGCGCCTGCCTGGCAAGCACTAGGTCATGAGTTTGATTCCCGGTACCGGGGGAAAAAAAAAAAAACAAAGTTGGCAATTTCTTACAAAACTAAACATACTCTTACCGTATCATCCAGCAATCACACTCCTTGGTATTTACCCAATGATGTAAAGACTTATGTTCACACAAATATCTGTATACAAGTATTTGTATCAGCTTCATTACCAACTGCTAAAACTTGGAAGCCATCAAAATATCCTTGAACTGGCAAATGCAAAAACAAATTGGTATATCCATACAGGAGTATCTTAAATGTCTATGAGTAAGTGAAAGAAGCTAATCTGAAAAGGCTTTCTACTGTATGATTCTAACAATACCACATTCTGGAGAAGGCAAATATGGAGCCTATAAATGATCAGTAATTGGGAAGGGCTAAAGGGGCTGAGAGAGGGATAGCAGGTGGAGCGCACCAGATCTCCAGGACTGTGAGATCATGCTCTATGACACAAAACAGGGTACATGTCATTAGATATTCTTCAAAGTCCATAGACTATAACACAAAAGCCAACCCCAATGTAAACTATGAACTTAATAATCTATTAATATAGGTCATCAACTGTAACAAATCTTCCATGCTAATACAAAACACACATAATAGGAGCAACTGCATGATAAAGGGGAGGGGATGGGAGAACTCTTTCTAATCATTTTTCTATAAATCTAGAGATACTCTAAAAATACAGCCTATTAATTTTAAAAATTAAAATAATAGGAATTAATGTTCCTCCAAGTGTTTATTTAACTGAAGTCTCTGAGTTATACTAAGGAAAAGAGTTATACTAAGGAAAAAACATGGAAAGTCTGAGATTACAACTAGTCATTGCTAGATAGCTACTCATTTTCTTGAATTAAGCATGTTCCCTCAAAAAACATAGTAGTGATACATGTAATTTATATAAAAATTACCAAAGCTAAAACAAAAAATTGAAGTTCCTCTCTGAACACACCAATCTCAACTGTCAGAGGTAACTTACCTTATTACCTTAAGTAATAGTCTAGTATATACTGAAACTATTCTTAACGTCTTTCTCCCCTTCATATATATATATATATATAAAACTGATTGCTAAATTCCACAAATCCAGCTTCTTCAATGTCTCTGGATTCCTTTCCATTCTTCCATCACCTCTTAGCATTAACTAGCCCCTGCCTCCAGTACTGGCCCTTTTCAATCTTTCTACATCACTGCCAGCCCACGATAAAACTGATGATTTTTCTAAGATGCAATTCTGACCATGATGTCATGCTCATTTAAAGTCTTTTGGAGGCTCCCTATCACCAGTAGGAAAATGGCTTATGATTGTCAGGGCTCAGAAAACAGTACCCCCAAATACCCAATTGGACCTCCAACTGAGAGCCCCTACAGAACAGGAATTGCACAGAAGGGCTTTCTCAGCAGTTCCTCCATCAACCTAAAGTGGGATCCTCCAAAGATTTTCTATCATTGTTAGTCCCTTCCCCAGCTACCTCATCAGCCCCGGAAGCACAGTGCTGGAAGCCTAAGCCTGACCCAACACTCAGAGACCAGACATTTCAGGCCCATTCATCCCCTGACAGTCATTTAGTCTTCCTCTAAATCTGCCCCTCCCCCTACTTCCCTCTCCTCTAGGAAGATATCTAAGTGTCAACCATCTGGTTCTCTGAGTTGCGTGTTTTGTATGACTCTCACGTTAATAAGTTTCTATCCGTGTCTGTTAATCATCCCATTGTCCGTTTATTTCAGCACTCCATTATCAAACCTTCAGAGAAAAGCCTGAATTTCCCCACATCTTTGGCATAGTCATCAGGATAACAAATCATGCTGCTCATTTCAGGGCCTGCACGTAGGATCCTAGCACAAATGACAAAAAGCCAGCAAAGTAAAAAAAGAATTTTCACCGAAGACAGATCCCCCAGTCTCTCCGTAGTGCTCAGTCGCGTGAGGGTGGTAAGAGTGGTTTTTTTCCCTTTCTAAATTTAGACAAGCAAGGGAGAACATAGGTAAACTAGTTCTCGTACTGGTTTGAACTGCTTTTGGAACAAGTAAGTTGGCTATATTTAAAGAAAACTTTGAAGAGAGCTCTAATCTTAATTATCTTTTGAGTACTTACAGAAATGCAAATTAAGAGACAGAAATAAACTCTAGAACAAAGTTTAAACGCTCTCAACAGAACACCTCTTGAATCTCTGGGTCTCTGGTTTAAACTTTGTGTCCTCTGAGTTGAGCTCTATTTCCCTAATAAATTCCTTGAGCTCAGGAGAGAACCATTTGCAAAAACTGGTTTAAATTATTTGTTTTGAATTTGTGTAACTGTTGGCTATTGGGGTTCCCATTTTTCAGAGATTCTCTTCCTTCTTTGGACAGCATTTGTTTTCCTGTTGGTCTTGCTTTGCTTTTCCATCTGTGGATTATGGGGTGGATGTGTGAAAGCGGCCAACCTAAAGGTTGGGAATCCCAAGAACATGGTGAGTTGCACCCCACTGTGGCGCGCATACCAGCTGCTGCACAGTCTCAGATCTTCTTTCTTTTTGCCTGACTTCAGGAATGGTCTGCGTCTTGGAAGAGCTGAATCTTTCACTCCCTCTTCTGAAGACCTTGGTTAAAGCCATAAAAGATTCTGTTAGTTTTGATCTTGACTAAAAATTAATCTGAATTATACTTGTGCCGCTTGTCACTTGTAGACATTCTTTGGTTTAGAGCCCTTGGCTTACATTCAGAGCATGACAGGAGTTTTTTTCCTTTTTTCCTAAGCTACGATAGAAGTACATACCCAGAAAGAAAGAAACTGGTTTATTGAAACATTAAGACTTCTCTAAATCCAAACAAAAAAGCCTTTTGATTTCCATCTTACTTGGAAATCTGCTCCCTGATATGAAAAAGCAACCTAAAGATAATACAGTTGGGTAGATGGTCAGCCTCTTACCATGTCAGGCTTTAACCCAATGCTTCGAAGAATTAAATGCAAGTCTTGCCTTGCAGCCTGAATCTTCATAAAACCAGAACTATGATTCTAGAAGTAACTCCAAACTCCATTCATTGTTCTCACCCGTCACAGAACTTTCCCTGTTTGCCTTCAGATGTTTACAGATACTGTACAAATTGGGACATTACAAACAGAACTGTCCTGTACTAAAAAAAAAGGAAAAATATTTTTAAAAGAGCTCTGTGATCAAATGTTGGCATAATTAAAAGCTAATATTCAAGTTATACTTTTTTTATGGTCTCTCTCACGGAAATTTCTCACTTGAGTGAAACCCCTTTTTCTCAAATATCTGGAAAACTGAAAAATCTCCCAGACTGGCTTTTCTAAGAGCTAATTTGGTCCTGCTCCTCCTATTTCTTCTACCACCCTCAATCTTCCATTCAGCTCCTTTTGACCTCTGATATGTCCCCCTTTAAGTCCCTACTGCCTCTGTGCAGTGATCCATGTATAAAAAATGACCGAGAGGATACATCAGAGTTCTAACTACCACATAAAAGAGACCTAAAGGAGAGTCTGGAGATCCTGAGACCCCTTAGGAACACAGGGAAGCAACCTTATCCCATTGCGAGGGTATCCTGTCTTCCTCACAGAGCCCCAAGTAGATTCTTCTCAAATCTGAAGTTCCGCTGTCTTTTGCACAGAGTTCCCTGATGTCTTTGGCTTTTGCTGTTGGCAACAGTTTGGGTTTGTCTAGCTCACAGGAAAAAGCTCCTATCTCTCTTCTGAGACAGTCCTGCTAGGTCACTCAGGCTGGGCTAGAACCTGCCACACTCGTGCCTCAGTCCCCCAGGGGGCGGGGATTAGAGGCACACACCACCACACCCAGCTAAGAGCTGCCATTTTAAAGAAATGGTCACGGTTCCAATGAGCAGTTATTAGTGCAGGAAGGAAACTGCGGTTTTTTAATGCACTTTGTTTCTTTGTGCACTTACACAAAGCTCCAGATTTCTGACTGGATCAGACAGAAATTAGCAGAAGATGGCAATTTACTGCAAGAAAAATCACTGGCTAAGCCCTCAGAGCCAGAGCCACAATTGGACACTCAGAGCCCAGACATCTTGGGCCCATTCATCTCCCCTAAAAATCATTCAGTCTTCCTCTAAATCTGTCCTGCCCCGCCCACCGCAACCCACTTCCCTCTCCCCTACAAAGGTATCTCTGGGTATGATGACTAGCTGATGAACACGCACTCACAAAAAACAAACAAACAAACAAACAAAAAAACCACTCAGCAGGACCCCTGCGGAGGTGGAGCTGGCCATGGCATGGGCTTGACTGGCCTGGGAATGGGGGCACCCCAGTGACATACACCAGAAAAGTCCTGCACAGCCCAGCCCCATAGCAGCTCTCTCTTGGTTTCTGCCTCAGCTCTGAAAGACCCCCAAATTCAAGGTAAAAGGGGGATCCTTCATTTCTAAAGATCTGAGTACTACAAGGCTGAGGCAGGAGGACTGCAAATTCAAGTCCAGCCTGGCTAATTTAGTGACTTAGCGAAAGGGCTCTGCCCTGAGCTTTGTCATCCAATTAAGAAACGGAAGCTAAATTTAAAAGCCACCTCTCTCTAACAAAACTGGTCACAATTACAACTGCTGTTTAGCTGGTTATTTTACACAGGCTTCTGCGCTTTCTCCTAGGTTCACTGTATACTTGTTTGTAAAGGCCTGCAATGAATCCTTGAGCTTTTGTTACCCTGACAAGATTTTAAATCCTTGTATGTCTCAACTGACACACCTCAACCTCCTTCTTGGATAAACCTGTTTTCTTTCTCTGTATCTCTGAGATGTGACATTGTTTTCTCTAAATGATAATGCAGGTTGAACATCCCAAATCTGAATATCTGAAAACCGAAATGCTCCAAAACCCAAAGCTTTTTAAGTTACTTCCTCCAAGTCTGTCAGGAAAGAGCAAATTCACCCTCATTACTCCATTACTGCTTTGCTTTACCCACAGGTTAAATAGCATTTGTTCCTTGATATTCTGATATTAATGATTACAACTTATTACTGGTTCATGTAAGCTGTAGTGATTACTCAAATACGAATTACATTGTTAAATAAGAACACCAGGTCAGAAGCCCTTAGTGCTAAGAACCGATGCCAGGAGAAGCAAAATGAAAATGCAGAAAAGCCTATACCTGCTTGGAGGTAAAACCACCTCTTCCATGTGGAAATCATTGTTCATCCCAGTCTTGTTGCTGCGCTTGGAAACTTCATTCACGGTCTCTGTCGGAGCTGTAACCAAAGAACAAGTGGTGGACAAAGTGAACTCACAGCAGTGTGGACTTCTATTTCACGAGGAGATTCACTCAGCCCAGTAGGCCCCAGATGTGTCAGATTCACTCAACTGCAGGAGTCACTGAGGTTCTGTGAACTCTAGGACCCATAATGGTGCTGAAAATTCAAAAAGCACAAGGGAGAGGCAGGAGAAAGTTAATTCATAAAAAAAAGTTAAGTGAAACCAATGAAAAACTTTTAAAAAGTAAAATCACGAAGAAACAACTTCATGATTCACCAAAAGTAAGTATTTATCTGCAGTACTAAGAGTCCATTTCCTGTTCCTGCCTCTGCAGCTACCCACAATGAAACCTAAGTTCCCCTACAGATCATACACATGTGTCACTGAACAGTGCCAAAGTCTGAGGCAGTTGTTCCAAGATTTTAGCATTTCAGACGAATAAACTTCCGAAAAGATTCTAAGCAACTGACCACAATATGACAACTTATATTTTGCCAGTTACAGAAAAGCAAATAAAAACAAAGATTCTACTCTACTACCCCCAAATCGTAATTACATACAAGAGCAGAAAGGAAATATTGTCAAAATAAAAAGCAGTCCTTTAAACTGAATCGGTTTAGCTTTGAGACTATTATAGGCAGCTAAATTAGACCGAAATTAATATGCAGCAAGTCAGTCAGCACAAAAAGACATCAGAATCATGGCTGGAGGCAAATCTGCAGAGAGCCAGGCCTCGGGACAGAGAAGCAATACTTGAGCATGCAAGATAAACAGCAACTTGAGATTATACCATAATTAGCACCACCTGGTCCAACAGGCCCATAAGTGGGTGACCAGATTACCTGAACCCATACTCCCCGCTCCCTTCCCCAAAATGCCTTTGTCCTTTCCATGTACTCTTGCTACGTGACTCATGTCCTTATCAGATCAAATATTAGCTAAGGGGCTATACTTGTAATCCCATAGGTTGATGGTAGTTTGACCCACATTGTACCACCATTGTAACTTTGCTATATAAGTTACCCCCGACGAAGAGCCTCAGTAGTCACCCATTTGGGACCTCTCCTGTTCCTCAGGAAACTACTTGGCTTCAAGATCTGACGGGTAAACAGATGAACTAAGATTGGCCATGAACTGGTTGAAGCTGGGTGATAGGTAAGGAGAGGTTTATTATATTAGTTACTCTACTTTTATAAATGTTTAAGTTTTCTGCAGCAAGATTTAAAATGTAAAAAGAATGGTGCACGCCTGTAATCCCAGCACTCGGGTGGCTGAGGCAGGAGGATCGTTGCAAGTTTGAGACCAGTCTGGGCTACAAAGTGAGCTCAAGGTCAACCTGAACTGCATAGCAAGACCCTGTCTCAAAAAGACAAAAATAAAATAAAATAAAATAAAATAAAATGTAAAAAGAAAAAATAGGGGCAAAGAATTTAGCTCAGTGGCAAAGCACCTGCCTGGCAAGAGCAAGGTCGTGAGTTCGATTCCTGGTACCGGAAGAAAAACATTAAAAAAAAAAAAAAAGAAAAAAGAAAAAAATAACTTTATTATATAAAGAAGTTACATAAGACAGTTCCCTTTCTCTTAGAAAAGAACACAATATTTAGGAGGCTGAGGCAGGAGGATCATTGGGTATTCCAGGCCAGCCTGAGCTACATAGCAAGACCCTGCCCCACCCCCTAAAAAAAGAATACAATAAAATACAGGTAAAGTCATTTCTGTAACTTTCAGATAGCAAGGGGGAGAAAAATATATGGAGAGATAAAAAGAAATATGACAAAACACGTGATGTGAACATTCACTATATTACTTAACTTTTCCACAATTTTTAAATGTTTCAAATAAAAAGAGGAAAAGGTGGTTGTAGGCCTTCATAAGGAATCCACTATGTCCTTATTAACATTAAGGTTAAAGGAACCTTAAAGGTATGACGTTCCCAGGTAGTAAAACAAAAATAAGTAAATTGTATCCCTGCTAATTCATAACGATAAATGAGAAATAAAAGAAAATCTTCGGGGGCTGGGGATTTAGCTCAGAGGCACAGCACCTGTCTGGCAAGCGCAAGGTCGTGAGTTTGATTCTCAGTACCAGAAAAATAAATAAATAAATAAA